GCCTTGATACCAGGCAAGGATCTGTGTGAGCAGTCAGGCCATGATACCAGGCGACGATCCGTGTGAGCAGTAAGGCCTTGATACCAGGCAAGGATCTGTGTGAGCAGTCAGGCCTTGATACCAGGCGACGATCCGTGTGAGCAGTAAGGCCTTGATACCAGGCGACAATCCGTGTGAGCAGTCAGGTCTTGATACCAGGCGACGATCTGTGTGAGCAGTCAGGTCTTGATACCAGGCGACGATCTGCGTGAGCAGTCAGGTCTTGATACCAGGCGACGATCTGTGTGAGCAGTCAGGTCTTGATACCAGGCGACGATCTGTGTGAGCAGTCAGGCCTTGATACCAGGCGACGATCTGTGTGAGCAGTAGGGCCTTGATACCAGGCGACGATCCGTGTGAGCAGTCAGGCCTTGATACCAGGCGACGATCTGTGTGAGCAGTAAGGCCTTGATACCAGGCGACAATCCGTGTGAGCAGTTAGGCCTTGATACCAGGCAACGATCTGTGTGAGCAGTCAGGTCTTGATACCAGGCGACAATCCGTGTGAGCAGTTAGGCCTTGATACCAGGCGACGATCTGTGTGAGCGGTCAGGCCTTGATACCAGGCAAGGATCTGTGTGAGCAGTCAGGTCTTGATACCAGGCGACGATCTGTGTGAGCAGTCAGGTCTTGATACCAGGCGACGATCTGTGTGAGCAGTCAGGTCTTGATACCAGGCGACGATCCGTGTGAGCAGTCAGGTCTTGATACCAGGCGACGATCAGTGTGAGCAGTAAGGCCTTGATACCAGGCGACGATCCGTGTGAGCAGTCAGGCCTTGATACCAGGTTACGATCTGTGTGAGCAGTAAGGCCTTGATACCAGGCGACGATCTGTGTGAGCAGGATTGTCTTGATACCAGGCGACGATCCGTGTGAGCAGTAAGGCCTTGATACCAGGCGACGATCCGTGTGAGCAGTCAGGCCTCGATACCAGGCAAGGATCTGCAGTGAACAGGAAGGCCTTGATACCAGGCAAGGATCTGCTGTGAACAGGAAGGCCTCGATACCAGGCAAGGATCTGCTGTGAACAGGAAGGCCTTGATACCAGGCAAGGATCTGCTGTGAACAGGAAGGCATTGATACCAGGCAAGGATCTGCTGTGAACAGGAAGGCCTTGATACCAGGCAAGGATCTGCTGTGAACAGGAAGGCATTGATACCAGGCAAGGATCTGTGTCAACAGCCGACATTGAAATTTAGCAATGAATGATTTGAGGTCTCCACAATTCAAAATGTAAGGCGGGCCGTACCACTTAATGAGAAACTTGTGCGGGCCGAAAGATAAAATAACCGGGGGGGG